GGTGGAGCTGGTGGAGCCGATGTTGGTGGTAGTGGCGGTGGTGGCGGCGGCGGCGGTGGTGGTGGTGACGGATAGTGGAGCGTAGGTTGGAGTGGAATGGTTAGCGGAAAGTGCGACGCCCGGCGTCTCGCCGCATCGATCGCGACCCCCACAAACCCCGTACAGTTGCCCGCTGCCGTGCTCTACCTGCTCTGTTAGCTTCTACACGCGGCTAGACGCGAGTGTACGCACGCACACGCGCGCGCACAGCCACGTCTACGAACGAGAACTTCGTCTCGTGCGTGGGGTGTGTCCGATGCACCTTGTTCCACGGAGAAATTCCTAGCGAAAACCTGGTATATAGGGTGTCCCGTACGCACCACTTTCTCCGCATCATTTCAAAATCTACGCGGTTTAAAAAAAAATCACTTACGACGCGACTATTACAAGCTTTACGTTTCATCGAAATAACTGCACGATAGTTTCCGAATTGGAAGAAACGGTCGTTCTAACTATCGCTTTACTCTTTACTTTCGCGCCCTACCAGAATTCAAGATTATATTAACGGTACAAACATCGACGTACATACGTACAGTTAGTCTTCTTCCGATCGACGAAATTGTAAGATTAGCTGGCCGATATATTCGTACCCTGATACTCGGCACCCTGTCCAAACAAATTTTCATTAATGTACATGTTACACGAGCTTGTACGGGTCTTAACGCGACCCAGTATATCCCTAAAGAATATACTTGACTCCTCGCTCTAATTGAACGTTTATCGACAGGATATTAACCCTCAAACGACAAAGTATAGTCTTTGCTAACTCGTAATTTGAAAGTTCGTATTTAGTATTTTCGTCCATGCTCTCTACAATTTATGCAGTTTTTCCGGTGTCATTTTTCCGATGTACAATGATCCGTCGCTTATGTATTTTGGTATCCGGTAGCAAAAGCAGCGTAGTGCGAGAGAGAGGTGCTGGAGAGGTCTGGGTCACAATTGACCCGACTTTGGACGTACGAGGGTTAACGTCGATGAACGATGCCCAATAGCCGACAGTCGGCAAAGTTTTAACGAATCATCCGATCAAGACACGCCCCGTTCTCGAGGTTGCACGTAGCGGGCTAACAGCGGACACGTTCGTACACCGATTTCGCAGTTGGTTCGATTCCGAACGGTGTATATAGGTTTCGCGATCGCGTGACCTCCGATGACCTCCTCCCCACGGGTTACCTCGTAGGGCGTAGGATTGGCAGGGCTACCGACGCCCTTTTCCTCCTCGTAGGGCAGCCACCTCGCGGCCAAAGGGGATGAGAGTCCGCGCGAAGCTTCCCCGACACTGCTGGCTGCTGTCACGCCGATCCATCCGCCCTTTTCTCTGCTGCTGCTGCTGCTACTTCCTCTTCGACTCTCGTCTCCGTTGTTCTCCCGTTCTTCTAGTCACCGTCGCGGTCTCTCCTCTTTCCCTCGATTTTCCACCACCATCGTGAGATCCCAAAAGTCTGCGAATCGAACGGACGCGTAATAAACGCGCTACCTTTGCGAACCAGGCTCGTCCGAGCAAAGCGGAAACGTAGGACACCATACAGCAGAATATAAAGTGAAGAGAAAGTGTACAGGGTGGGTTACAGATTATTTCTCGGTTCTTAGATTCAAAACAATTTTGTTATATTCAATTTCTTTCTACTCCGGTTGTTGCGTAGGAAAATACTAAATGTCAAATATATAATGCGTGACATCGATGCGAAGTCGACATCGCACATTGGGGCAACGCGCGCAAATAATTACTTTTAATTTACAATTTGATGAATATTAGTTTTATCGGGCTATTTTATCCCAACGTGTATCGTAAAGCAAAGAATTGACAAGGTCTTCCTATTTCATATACGAGATAATGCCGCACCCCCGAGATAACAAATGCGGCATCCACTTCCATTTCCATTAATAAAATGGAACACGTATACGAGTTTTTGAGCTGCTATTAAAAAAAAGAGCGTCCTCGATACCTCTATCAGTTGTGTACTATAAAAAGATACAGGCCACCCTGTAGAACAAGCCGGTGGGAAAGAATTGAAGGAAGGGAGGTGGCTGCAGAAATAGAGGGTGGTAGACTGTCCTCTCTGGCCGTGGAAGCTCCACGGTCCAGGAGGTTGAAAGAGGAGGAGAAGAGGATGGTCGTTGAACCCCTCAGCCTCTCTGAAACGTCCTGGAATAATCCCGACACAGGATCAGGGTCCGCGTGAACCGTCTCGAATACTTGGCGAAAATCGTCTCGTCTCCTGTGTTGATGGTGTTACCCTCCGACACCTACCAGCACAATCTTCGTTCTTTTTTTTTCCTCCTTTTTCTTCTTCGACTCGACGTACACCGGTATCGTTTCGACCTCGATCATTTGAATAATGAGAATTCCGCGGTTATTTCGGGAACACCGACGGCCGATTACACGGTGTTCGTTCAACTTTTATGATTTCCGGATATTCTGGAAAGCGTCACGAGAAACGGAAGTTATTAAGTTGTTACATATCAAAGTGGCAGATTCGATAGCATTCTCGAACGAGGTGCGATACGCGATGCGTAACTCTGAAATTTTTTATCGAAAGCGTTCTAGGCAAAGAACGAAACACCGTCGAATCGAAAAATTCGACAGAAATAGCTAACCATTCGCGGCAATATACGTAATTACAGTCTGCTACCTTTCACGATCGCTCCACTGTATCGTTCGTGTACAACGAAATAATTTACCGTAAAGTAAATTACTAATTTCGAAATTGCGATTCTGTGATTCGATGAGTACATATTGAATACGATTGCATCCCTAATTACGGACCATCGTCGCTCGTGGCGTTTAAGGTTTCTCGTTCCTCGTGCGTGAACTAATTAACTAATTAGATAAATTGCATCAACCGGGCGGATGGAGTGAGGCTCTAAACAGATTTCTCCGTTTATGGGTCATCCGTTATATTTGCAAGAAGCGGACACGCGCGACCTTATTGATTCATAAAAAGATACAGGCCACCCTGTAGAACAAGCCGGTGGGAAAGAATTGAAGGAAGGGAGGTGGCTGCAGAAATAGAGGGTGGTAGACTGTCCTCTCTGGCCGTGGAAGCTCCACGGTCCAGGAGGTTGAAAGAGGAGGAGAAGAGGATGGTCGTTGAACCCCTCAGCCTCTCTGAAACGTCCTGGAATAATCCCGACACAGGATCAGGGTCCGCGTGAACCGTCTCGAATACTTGGCGAAAATCGTCTCGTCTCCTGTGTTGATGGTGTTACCCTCCGACACCTACCAGCACAATCTTCGTTCTTTTTTTTTCCTCCTTTTTCTTCTTCGACTCGACGTACACCGGTATCGTTTCGACCTCGATCATTTGAATAATGAGAATTCCGCGGTTATTTCGGGAACACCGACGGCCGATTACACGGTGTTCGTTCAACTTTTATGATTTCCGGATATTCTGGAAAGCGTCACGAGAAACGGAAGTTATTAAGTTGTTACATATCAAAGTGGCAGATTCGATAGCATTCTCGAACGAGGTGCGATACGCGATGCGTAACTCTGAAATTTTTTATCGAAAGCGTTCTAGGCAAAGAACGAAACACCGTCGAATCGAAAAATTCGACAGAAATAGCTAACCATTCGCGGCAATATACGTAATTACAGTCTGCTACCTTTCACGATCGCTCCACTGTATCGTTCGTGTACAACGAAATAATTTACCGTAAAGTAAATTACTAATTTCGAAATTGCGATTCTGTGATTCGATGAGTACATATTGAATACGATTGCATCCCTAATTACGGACCATCGTCGCTCGTGGCGTTTAAGGTTTCTCGTTCCTCGTGCGTGAACTAATTAACTAATTAGATAAATTGCATCAACCGGGCGGATGGAGTGAGGCTCTAAACAGATTTCTCCGTTTATGGGTCATCCGTTATATTTGCAAGAAGCGGACACGCGCGACCTTATTGATTCTGCATCGGGGTGCCGTTACTCCTAAAACGACACGCGGAAGCATCGATCCCAGAATGCCGCACTAAAAAATCGTGCAGAGAAAGGTGTGACTAACTAGTTGTCGCGGATCCGCGACGATTAAAGGGAAAAAGTCGCTTTAATCTTTTTATTCGAAAATTTTATTGACATTCCGACCATTTCTGCGATATTTTTCTAAGAAGATAAGCAGCCGCTAAAAGAAAACATAGAAAGGGCTCGAACGGATTGACTCGAACGTCGAGCGGGATTTAGTAACAGATAAACGCTAAGCTTCGTAATCGACGGATAGATTATGGACGTCTAGAACCGATGAGTCAAGTCATCGGTTCATCGGCGTATTGTAAGTAACGTGACATACAACACGACCGAGTATTATCGCGCAAAATTATAATCACTTAGCGCGTAAATGACATCCATTTTCAAAGAAATAATCTGACGAACGCGTTTCTTTTTCTTATGAAACATCTGTCGGTATCTTTATAGAACAGTCCTATTATAAAAGTGATCGAGCATCTCGTAAACTTTACACTATATATTTATGAATAGCGCGATTTCATTTGGAAATGCAAAATCCAGCGTAAGAATATTACGCGCGGCGAGCTGTAGAGTTTTTGGCGCACAATGCGGTAGTTTCCGTGCTCTACAAAAACAGGGAAGCGTCATTAATATGCATAAACGTTCACGCGAAAGTGGCAATATAACGGGAGGCTACTGTATACTTGAAAAAAGTTCTCTTCCGCAAAAGGTTAATAGTGTATCGAATTCGAGCACACGTACGCGTACCTACACAACGAAGGCCGTACGAGTTTCCGAAATAATTTTCGATACGGCAGTGCACCGCAGCAATTCCATCCTTCGTCGGTCACTGACACCAGAAATGGCTTATAGCTGTGGCGTCGATTCAGGATGGATACTGGTATATTGTACATGCATATGTGCACGTTAACGCGCACATACTCTCTGTACCTATGCGGCTTCAACGTCCACCAAGTATCTCGTGGAATTGGAATTTCATAGTCTGTTTAGTAGTCCATGTGCACAAGGGCGTAATACGGTTCGTAAGTAATGAGAGGGTATTACGAAGATGTTAACAAGCTTGAAGGAGTAGTCTAGCATAAGCAACCCTAAGGGCATGTTTTCTCGTGGTAGTACGTAAATTGCGACGTTCGGCATTACTCTAAATGTCGCGACTTTTTCATTCGTAAGCGTTATTTCTAAGCGAAATTCCACCGAACAGATAAAATCGTAGCAGTCGAAAGTTAGAACTTTTAATATCGCGTAAGAGTATGATACCACGTTGCACGAGATCGACTGAAAAATGTCACGGTGTCACGACATTTATCAATCGCGTGAAAACCTATTTTAACAACGGGCTAAATTTTACGGATCGCATCGAAACATTTATTTCGGTCTTCGATGTGCATTAATCGAGCGTTGACCTCTTGACAACGCGTCGATCTAGTTCGGCGTGGACCAATCACGATCAGATCGATGTATTTTTGCGCAGGTTACTTATTGACTAGAGTCGAGAAAAAGATTGGCTCGCCTGAGAAGCCTTTATCGGATCTGGGCTTGATCTCGTATCGCAGCTACTGGAAGGACGTTTTGCTGCAGTACCTCTGCAATTTCGGGGGCAAGGAACTCTCCGTTAAAGGTAATACAATACGGCCGCGAAGCACGCGCCACCGTTTTCGACCGACATTCGCCAGACGCCGCGTGTTAACCCTTTGCGCTCCACAGATTGCGCTTTTCCATTTATCATCCACGAATTTCGGTCGATACGCGTTCTACGATCTTCAAACATTTCGATTAACTTTTAGTTCGATTTTATCGTTAACGTTCACGCTCTCGACATACACGTATTGCGGTAGAATTTAAAAGGTTTAAGACCAATTACTTTTCCCTATATTTGCAATATCGACAAAACATCGGCGGTACCTCGAAAAGCTTTAAAACTAATTGGGGACACAAAAAATATTCGAACCACAAAAGGTAAAAGAGTGCTGTCCAGCCGAATCAATTGCGAAGCGGAAAACCCTCCATTGCTCTTTCTGTTACGTGCTGCTTCTTCAAATTATAAGCCAACTTCGTATTTAGCTTGTCTACTCTCGCCAAGAGTACTATTACTATTAGCATTTTGTCGAAAAAAATATAATCTACTTCATATAAATTTTAACCGTCGGTGTAAATGTCCGTGTGTGCTCGCACGCATATGCCGAGCAGAATTGAATGCGTATTTATTGGCGTATCTGTATTATGCAGACCGAAAGAAGGCATGAATGGTGGCAGATTGAATCACGCGAGGGCCCCATCGTGAACAGCGCTGATACATCTTACACCGCACCGCAGTTAAATTTGCCAGTGCACGAAGCTATCGTCTGATCGTCTGTTTTCTTTTTGTCCCTGTCAGATATCAGTAAGGAGATGGCGATCGACTCGTACGACATCGTCAGTACCCTGCAAGCCCTCGGTATGATGAAGTACTGGAAGGGCAAGCATATCATCCTGAAGAAGCAGGTAAGCTTGATCATTATGATTCTAAGAGGCCTGATGGATGGGCTGGATTTACCGTGTTAATTGATTCGACGAGATTACGTGTTTGTACGCATTGGCGTAAGTAGAATTTTTATCTTTCCAAATGTCTATACTTTTTAATTTTCCAATTGACCAAACTCCTAAATTCTCAAATATTTTAATTCCTAGATTCTCAGATTTCTAGTGTTTTGAAATCCTCGAATTTCCAACTTCCCAATGTTTGAAAATACTCTAATCTTGAAATTTCTCGCGTTCGATGCATCCCCTACTTCTTACTCTGCGTTCCACACGCTGCACGTTATACCCCTCTTTATACCCTATGCTCCACACGCTTCGTAGGGGAGGTCAGTTGATATTTCGGAGGTTGTAGACCCACCCTGATCCCCGCCTAGTTACGCCAATGTTCACGAGTAAAATCTTCTGCGTTACCGGTTCAGCCAAACTTTGGAGCGCGCTGTTTCCCGGTACGATTCATCAAGGTGTTCCGCGAAACGAAAGATTTTAAAATGGTCGAGTCGTCTCCTCGAAAAGGAGATTAAGAAAGAAAAGAAGAGAAGCGGACCGGTGGAGAACCGTTGAAATAATTTCAGGACGTGATCGACGACTACAAGGAGAGGGTGAAGAGGCGAGGACCCGTCTACAAAGAGATCGATCCGGAGTGTCTGAAATGGAACCCCTTCCAGCCTCCCAAGACGCCCTCCACCTCGAACTAAGGTTTGCAGCAGCAGCAGCAGCAGTAGCAGCAGCAGCAGCCCAGAATGACGCCGACGCCAGCCTTCCCCTTCTACGACGACGGAGGGCGGTGGTCGATCTCTTTCTCTTCTTCGTCGTCGTCTTCGTTTTTTTTTTCCTTTTTTACTCCCTCGCCTCGTGGTGCTTCTCTTTCTTACTCGACCGTCGCCTCTCGCGACACTCGTCGAACCCATAAGCTACGTCACGCGGATTTCGCGTGTTCCCGCTGACTAGGGATGTCCAAGGGATTGCCCTTGTGGCGACAGTGTACATCCCTCGGGGCAGCGTTAAAAATTTCCGAAGCGGATAACTCGAATCGCGTCGAATACCTACCTTTGTACTAACAGTGATTTCGAAGGAAAATACCTGTTATATTTTCCGAGTTCCATAAAAATCAAGCAGACGTCACCGATTTCAATGATCCTGAAATATGTTGTCAAAGACCGACCGAATAACTTTGGTACTGTGGATGTTGAATATTAAAAGATATCATGTTGCGCTAGAATGCAATATACTTTGTCATTGAAGTCGGTGAGGCGCGCTTCTTTCTACGTCATTACCGGCTAAATTGAGACCCATACCCTGTGAGCGTATTACAATGTTACCGTTGCCCCGAGGTTTATTTCGTGGCGAACCGCGTTGCTCCGAGCCAGTAGGGCAACCCGTGGACAGGTCTGGCCACAACGATCGATGAATAAAACTCCTGAAGATCCTTTGAGGAACTCTCGAGAGCCCTCTGGAACCTCCGCGGGATGCAACGGGGTCAACGAGTCGAGCAACGCGTAACTAGTTCCCCTCGAGACGTCCCTCGATTACCAGAAACAATGATTCGTACTCGAGTAATTAACTTCCGTTCGGAATCGTGCTTCTTGACCTCGTCAACGTTCTCGATCTTTCCATGCCGACAACGAAGATCGAACAGTAGCCATCGCCGGTAACCCTATCTACGATCGACTTTCGTAACACGCGAACAGTGTACGTTTTTGTTCGTCGACGAACATTTACGAAAAGCTCTGACGTGCCTTTTACGACGCGTAATTGAAAAGCTTGAGCAGCTTCAAGATTCAAATTCTTGTTAGACCGATCTTCGACTCCAATCATGAATAAATATAATCTTCGTTGTAGCGTAGATCGAGATGCGATGGACTGATCGTCGAGTTTTGTATAGTGTACTAAAACGTGATACCGAAACTGTACTCGTTGCATCCCGTGACAAGAGTAGGAATAATTTACGACCTCGCTATATCGTGGCAAAGACTGCTTTACCTTATGGGTAAAACGATCTCGTTGAAATATGTCGCGCTATGGTGTATAGTCATTACACCCACTCGAATTAAACGTCGATACTATGTTATCGATCGGTGCATGGCACGTTGCAAACCGAAGAATTTCAGGCGTGGAGATACCGGAGAGGCACGACGCGTCCTCGATAGGTCTGTTAGACAAAGTGAAAAATAACTCGAAAGCAATCGAGTCAAGGTTAAACAGGATCAATTTAAATGCTCACGTTCTTATGACGCGATGCACCGCAGTCGTAAGGATCGTAGAAAAAGTTTTAACCGCGATGCCCTGTTCGCGAAGTCTGTGACTGCGATTTAACGCGTTCGCTGAGGACACGATCGATACCTGTCGCGATTAATTAATATTATTTTTATTTATTTCGTTCGCGCCGCGAATGTCCGCTCGCGAGCACCGTTCTAGGATAAGTGGCAATGGAAGAAGAGCCCGTGACAAGTAGAGTAACCGTTTACTCGAGAATATTTTATTGCCGAACATGAAAATGGCTCGTGTTAAGTGGGCGTAATACGCGGTAATTCTCGAGCGTTATGGCCATAGACGTGTACAGATAGACTGAGCGCTATTATAGGAGAGTTAAATTGCAGTCGACTCTCTCTTTCGTAGAGTATCCCTAGATCTCTGTATCCTTATGTCTGTAGTTCAATTCCGGCCAATTTAATTCAGAACAGTAATCAGACAGAAGGGGGAGCAGCAATCTCGAACGCGCGAAAAATTCCCGACCACTTTACGCGTTAAAAAGAGTGGCAACGATTACTACTTTTGTCCCCTTTTTTCCGTGTCAACCCCATTGAACGCAGCACGCAATATATCTGTAGAACACGTTTATGGACCCTCCCTTGTATCGTGATTTCTCTGAGAGAAGCGTATTCGCCGGTGTCGAAAACGTGTGGCGTGGTCCGCAGCGAACACGTTCGCGCGAACGTAGCGTATAACGCGCATCGACTTTACGATGTAAGGGAATATCGTTAAAGGATAGGATATCTTAATGTTAAATCGAATGAAAATTGCATACATATTGATGGAACAATTTTTTTCTTGTATTTTTTATTCACTTTATTTTGTTGAAACAGGTGAAGCGATGCATTTAGGGCGAGCGGAACAAGTAATTTTCTACAGTCACGAAATAGTGCAATTTATTAATCTTTGTAAGAAATAAATGTTGTATAAGTACAAATAGCGTAGAGATTTCCTGTTTCGTTCGCTCTTTTTCCCTTGTACGGAGTTACAGAACATACAGACAGTTTTTCTCGTTGCGTACTTTCATCCGAGGAACAATTTACAAAGAAACAACAAAATATCTCTTTTTTTCAACGTTTGTCCACGTTATCGACGATTCTCTTCTTCGTTGACCAATACTCTGCGAGTAATAATCTGTAATTTAAACGTTTCATAATCATGTATGTTAAAAGAATGTACAGTACTATTTATAAATAATACAATTTTTATCCATAACCTCGTGCATTTGGTACATCACCCGTATCTCGTAGCCAATAATCGTGCAAATATTTTTCCGCCAATTTTATCGCGCCGTCGTACGAAAACAACAAGTGATTTTACGTAGATAGAAATTCCTCGAGTCTAAAATATTCCCGGAAAGATGATTTCCCGCGAGTGCTGGTGATACGCGCTTTCGCAGAACCGGTACTGGCATTGAGTCATACATGTTTTCCTACGTGTTATTAATAAAACAAATTAGATTTTCCGAGGAAAACCAATGAATCTTATTGGAATTCTGTGGTGGAAAATTGCAAATTAACTTCCATAAGGAAAATAGCAGAAGGCCGCGAGAATGCCACTACAGAGTGTACAACGTCGAGAGGATTAAAAACTTCGAAATCTCGATTTAGAGGAAGACTCGAATGTTAAATAACTGAGAAGCTATAAGCGTATCACTTCCACGCTATGGAAGAACATTATCTAAATATGCACAGTATGTCCGAGAATGCCTCGTATCGCAATTCGAAACGTTTCGAGTACGACCAACTTTTCGCTCAATTATCGGAAAGGTTAAAACTTAGTCTGGAAGATAAGGCTTTGAATCGGTGATATAACAGGTCGGTAAATATAATGGTAGTAGTGAAAGACGCGTCTGTACACGTAAAAGATATCAAAGCGGTATTTAGAGTTAATAGATCATATAGAAGCATACCAACGAGCTTTAAAAAGATACGCTAACAGGTTGTATAGTCGTGATCGTACGAGTTTTTATATCTTACTTATGTCGTACTACTCGAGAACAGTTTATGAACTTGCGCGATGGATTCTTTTACAGTGTCTCATTTTCCATCTTTGTCGTCGTGCTCGATTATGTTGTACGGTAAAACGGATCGGTACAATGCAACCGTTAGTAGAATTTGCACGAAGCAGCGTTTCATTAATCACACACGGTTGAGTCGATTTTCTCGAAGCAGTCAGTTGAACGCGAGAAACTAAGCGATCCTCGAAATTTCCGACAGTTTCGCTAGGAATTCCAGTTGTTTCGTGACTGGCGAAAAAGTTTTGCTCGATGAAAGTAGCCGACGTGCTTTTACGTCGAGTCTTCGTTAAACTGCCACTCCGTCAGTTTTTGAGACCGTGCCAGGAATATTAAACGATATGTCATCGATACCCGAGGCACGTGGTAAATTATCATAAATCGTCGTTGAAATTCATAAAGATAGCAACGATTAAAAAAATGAACGGAATCTAATGGTACGTAGTTACGGTACGGATAAAAGTAAGCGACGAAAGGGCGTAGGAATTGATTGGACGGTAATTTGTCTGGAAGCACGCATTGCGGGTTTCGTGACTGAAAGTTTAGCGAATCGAAATAAAAAGAATGTAAGCCGTTGCAGATAGGCACTTTTCGACGCTCAAGGGCTTCTATTGGAACCAAGCAAAGAGGCGAATAATTGCGTTACTCGAGTTCCTCTTTCTCGTTTGAACTGCTCGCTTTTCTTTCGCTCGGTACACCGCGTTGCCACGCGACCCCACGTAACATCATTATCCCATTAGTTTGCGACATTACCAGGCTACAACGGTTGCTTCCTCTCTCCTTTGCTCCCGGAGAAAGAAACGACAGCTACTCGACCCAGGGTTTTCGACCGGTTCACGTAACAGGGCGCCGGTTAATTTTATTTGTCGACTAAACGAGGATCACGTTCGAAATAAAATCGCGCAATTTACCGAGCACTATTAACCGGATTACGCGACGCTGCATCGATCACGGTAATTGCTTCGCAACAAGTTCCTCGTCAAAATTATTACGTTACTCGGCTGCGTTCCGTCTTACCTTTCTTATTTACTTATATAACGATACAGAGATTCGATAAAGCGATCATCGTAGTTGTAGAAAGTCAAATATCCGATAATAATGAACACTTTTTAAATTATTCCCACGATCGCTCTCGATGCTCGAGCGAGCGAATGTCTTGCGTTACGTTATTCTTCCCAGAATCTGAGCGCTCGTGCGCGATTCGTCTACGTTACGAGGAAATAAGGCAGCAGGGCACAGTCATATGAATTGCGCTCCAACAGGTGCCGGGTATCGAGTTCACCAGAGCACCTGATGAAGTACAATTAACATGCAGCCTCCACAGTTCTTCCCGCATCTGCTTTCGTTTTTTCTTTCAACTTTTCGCAGGTCGACGAGCAACTCGAATTCGTGCCGGTAAAAGGACGATGATTCGGTTTCGCCGCAGCGCGCGCTACTTCAGGTACCTGACTGATTTCGAGTCGACACAGCCCGAAGTACCCGAGTAACGCGTGTTGCGAACGACATGTAGTCACACGGTTCTTCTGGATGCTCCTCCGTATCACGTGACACCAACCTGCCTAACCTAACCTAACTTCCTGCTGAACAAGAAACGCCTGCGTTGCACCCGGCCGTAAAGGTACCTTCGACTGCCAAAATCAGCTAGAAATTTCTTCGGCACGTCGATTCGCGTTCGGAGAGATTGGCAATAAGCGGAAACCCCGAGTGGCTTTATAATCTGACAGGCTGATTTATCGAGAGGGGAACTTGACAGGCTCGTAGCAGGTAGTCGAATCTTTGAAATTGTTTCGCGAGTCGAAAGCGGCCACGTCTTCTAATATTTCACTCGAAACGAACATGATAGAATACGCTTTTAACCGATGGTTCGATTCTATCTCGCTATTTTCGAGACAACTAAAAGCACAGTGACACATCATCCACCAACACGTACAAGACCGATACGTAGGTTGCTGTCCCGGTCGACTCGTTGCACGAGTAACCGAGCTTCGAACACTGCGAGTCGAAAGCATCCGATACGTCACGGGGGAATAAATATTTCGTACAAAGAAACAACCAAACTTTTCCGTTCGAATACTTGATCACACGAGTGTCTTTTTGTCCGCGATCCGTTCCACAAAATGACGCACTTAGTTTGCATCGTGACCGTGCCTTTTTGCGACTCGGACGAGTTATGTCGCCCATCAGCGATACGACGACGTTCCACGAGCACAGCCGGCAACTCGAACTTATCACGTACAAACGGCACCGCCTAGTAACACGACATCCTATGCTGGAACTCACATCATCCGTCACGGTGAAACGTTTCCTTGGTCGATACTGGTCGAAACGATCGATAAATTCGCGAAGGTTTAAAGCCGTCGATAAGAAAGGAATAAATTCACAGCGGCGCGTTCGTAGCACACCTTCGCGAGCACCGTTTCGTACCAGCCGGCGTCCCCGACGAAAACGACTCGATGACCGAACGTCGAAAAACGTGGACGAGATTATACGCGGATCCGATGAGCGGTAATATCCGTCGAGCAGTTCCTTCGCAATGGTCGACGCATCGTGACATTGAAACTCCTGCACTTGTGGTGGTGGAAGAGGTAAAGGAAAGTCTCCCCCCTCTTGCTTGGCCGTCCCGTTCCCTCTTTCCCGTTCTTCGTCGACGAACGACGATAATAGGCCGGGAAACGTCGAGGATCGCGGGACGAGAGGGGCGGAAACTTCGATGAATCAAAGCGAAGGAGCCAGACAGAGGGTGGGAGGGAAGAAAGAAGAGAAACGCGACAGCGTTGGATCGAGATAAGGGGAAAGGATCGAATGGATTGTACGATGCGTGGTGGGGATGAAAGTGGTACGGGTGGGGAGGAGGGGGATGGAAGAGGGCAAGGTTGCAGACAGCAGTCACCGGGAGAAAAGCACGGATGCGCTATGCGCGTAAACCGAGCTCGTTAATGTTCACTTTTTTCCACTGTTTCTCTCTAGTACCGATTAATACTGCTACCATTAGGGTGCGTTTAGACCGACCGAGCAAGAGCGTTCGCTCGTGCTCGTTCGGCGAACTCTGTTCGACCGCGTCAAACTGGCTGAACGAGAGTGAACTTTTCACGAGTTTAAACGGATCCTCGACACAAGGACCGAGTCCGACTGAATTGCTCCGAATTCGATCGTGTCAAATCCAATCGCGTCGAATTAAATTTCGTCGACTCGAATCCCTTCGAATCGAATTGTACCGACTTGAATCGTACGGAATCGATTAATATGGAATTTAATCGTACCTAATAGCTCTCTTACGAGCATCTCCGTCGTAAATCGTAATCGGTAGTGTAACGGATCGTTAATAACGATAATGGAATTATACCGAAAGTCTGTTCCACATTCGATCCGTTTCCAACGATGGTTTTCGTGCGGCAATGCACGCAACAATCTCTTCACGGGATTTCCCTGTACTCTCGGCTAACTCGACACCGCGTATAGAATGTAAATTGCCTTCGCTTCGATACGACACATTCCACCTGCGAACTCGTCTAATTCAGACCTAACCTGAGCGTCAAGCATCGGCTACGGAATAATAACGCTGTCGTGCTTTTTTCCTCTCGACAGGTACACGTAGCGGAAAGGTTGTGCTTCGTAGGCCCGATAGAAATTGCGGTATTATTCGTATGATGGGTTATTTCGAAGATAGCCATCGTACCTTTGATCAACGACGCACACTGTCACGAAACGTTCCATGGATATAATTGCTACCAAGACTGTATTTTAGACACGCGAATTTTTTAGGCAACTCGCAAAACGTCTGTACAGAAAAATTACGGTACAGGGTTCTTTTTTACTTCGTTCCGAATTAGTTTTCCCAGAAATGCGGAGTATTTGCAAATTCGTAGATTCGATTCGCAACGGAGTTCGATTCACCCCCGTAACCGAGCGAAAATTCCAGGCGAACGCTTCGTTATTCGATAGAGAATACATCGATCCATTGTTAACCGATTCAATGGTATTTCTGCGATCCCTGATTTACGCCTGTCTCCGTCAGGAAACTGAGCTACGAACCACTCCTTTGTACATGTTCAAGCGCGAACCGAACAAAGAAAATGAAACACTAATGATACCGATATGCGAGTTAGTTCGAACGCGTTTAATTCCGGGCGAGTGATCATTCGGAAAGTTGCGTGCTGCTGACACGCGAAGGAAACTGTTCCGATGGAGCCATACCGAGCTAAGATTAATCGTTGGGTAACGGAGGAAAATTTTCTGGAAACCACCGTCCTTAGAGGCGGAAGGAAACCAGGTTTCCGGCCAAATCGAAAAGCCATAAACCACGAACGAGAACCGAAATGTCCCAATTTCTATCCCAATGAAAGCACACATTCGTCCAACTTGATTGTAAAGGTTTCTTAATACGTAATTAATTATCGACTCCGTCGATATCAACTTACGAGTGGAACCGATGACTCAACTTCCATCGTCAACTATTTATCGTTTATGGCCGAGTTTACGATCGAAAGACCCTGCATCTTAACGATACATTAAACCAATTACCTACCACAGGCTTGACACGGTCGTTAGCAGACGCAACAAGCGGTTCGATCGGGCGTGTGCCACGACGTCCGAACGCGTACCGATTCGGCACGCGGTATCGAGTGAACGGCAACGAACGTGTTCGCTTTCGACTTGGACGTTTGACCGGAAGTTTGTGGGGAGAACACGTAGCGTAAGGAACATGTGTGGGACGAGTTTGTACCGAGTAACGACCGTTAAGAAACTTCCGCTTTAAGTACGACGGATGAGTCAAGATTACTAAGAAAAAAATCACCTCACACGCAATAATACGCGACTGTGAAAGTCGATGCATTCGACGAAGAGAGGCGTTCTGCGAGAAATCGTGACTCATCGATCAGCTATGCGCTAAGTCTAACCCGACTAGTCTCCTGCTTTTTTAACGAGTCTCACTCGACATCGCGTGAACGGCAAGCTATTCTTCTTTCGCGAGATTCGAATCGGATTATTTAGTTTCGTAACGGGAACACCGCTGTTCCAACAGTTTTGAGTATCTGACAACTTCCGGTGACACCGACCAAGGAAGGAAACAACGATATTGACTGTCGGTGTCTACTTACTACTTCTTCGCATTCCTGATACCCAGTTCCGACTGATATCGAATTATAGCTTTGTTCCAACGCTGCGAAAGATTAACGGGGAATTTTACGAACTGTGAAATAGAATTTCTATTTCGAATCGAAAGAAAACGGTTTCCAAACCGAAAACGAAACTAACGGTTCGAAAGTTCAGATAAAATCCTGATAAAATTCCAAGGTATTAAATCTGTTTAAAGTTTGAGTATATCTTATCAATCGCGAGAAGTTGGCGAATATGCGCGAATGTCGCCAACGACTGATACTTTGATCGTACATTGTTCGAGAACGATGATAATATTTTTATCTATTTTATAAATTTCGCAACGTTCCTACTAATACTATTTTCCCACTATATGGAGGTCTCTGGTTTAACAACTTAAACGTTTAATTTAAGAATCATTATGGACTATTTGTAGCTTCGCCTCACAAAAGGTCTCGAGCAGTAACGCGCCATTACTGCCCTTTTGTCTTTAAGAATAGTCGAATTAAACGATCTTGATAAATTGAAATTTTCGATTCCAGGATTTAGACGGTTGTAAAAAATCCCGCAGCTGATACAGAGCTATTTCAGCGAACCGTGGATGCGTATCCAAAACACGAAGAGAAAGAGAGAAAGAAAAATCCGGCTGGAAGTTAAAAATAACTGTTCTCCCGGTGCTCCTTTCTGTGCATACCATCTTCGCCCTCTCGTTTTTCTTGCTTCTTAAAATCTTTTTTCCTTTCATCCGATCAAGAGTTAAACGTTTCATTGTTCGTTCGACGATTATCAATAGTTAACGCATCGAGGATAGTGGAAATATTATGCGAAAGACAGTTTTTGATCTTTGCTCCCTTTCAACTGCTCTGCCATTCTTTTCTGGCTCTTCAATTACAATATCCGCCCGCATTCTTTAACTTGGTAAAGTCAGCGGGATCATTAATGACCCCTATATACGGTATTTTTCCATGACTTGTTAATTTTAGAAATAGGTTAACGTACTTCCACGGGTGTAAGGCTCGATAAAAGCAAAGAAAAATTTGAAAAGTAGAATCATAGTCTCTGTAGCGATAGGGCGGCTCTGTCACTGCCCCCTGATACGCCCATTTTAAAAATTCCTTCCAGATACGAAAACAAAAAAGAACTTGAACACGAATTGAGCAACTTAAAAGTTTACATATGTCTCGTTATCTAGAGGAAGTCTGCGTTGCACTCGGGTGTGCATGGGTGTCACCGTGAAATCGGGGAATCCCGCGATAAAACGTGTCTGTACTTACTCGTACAAAGTCGATGAGTTGTAAGGCAAAACCGATTGTTTCACTGAAACACTGTGTTGGTCGCGCGCACCAGGGAGTAAAACAGTTCAGGAACAAACCGTTGTACGTCTAATTAGATTGGGAGCGGTACGGAATCGGTTAATTTCGAAAGGATGAGTCACAGACAAGTCGACGCGACGGTTCACTGTGCACCGCGTGTGACGACTTCGGGATCCACTGCGAGAGAAGAAGAAGAAGAACGAACGAACGAACACACGCGTGGAGGAGATGAATTCAGGCCTGAATTTACGTGACGGCAAAGCGAGGGGTCTCGTCTGCCCTTGAAAGTTTTCGTCTACGTGCCTGACCCTCTTTACCCGGCACTGAACTGAACTGAACTGTCCTTGGACGGTCGGAACGGTTCAACGATAGCAGCCACGGCATAGCACAAACGACAGAGGAAACCTTAAACTGAACCTACCCGGGATATATGGTGGGGTCCCTAACGAAGCAACCGAGATATAGTGGTGGGGCGCAATGGAGACTAGTCGGCGCCACTGGACCATCCGTACCGATGGACTCCCCGTAGCCGATTGTTCTCCGATCTCACGAATTTCAAGGACGTCTATGCGAAACCGGCCTGCCTCGAAGAAAAAGAAGATCTAGGAATCCTCCTTCCTTCCGTCCTTCCTTCCTTCCTTCCTACCTTTCTTTCTCACTGCTTTCCCTTTAACCCCTTCCACTCCTTCTTTTCCCCTTCTTCGACGCGTATACATCTTTTTCCCTTACGATAGTTGACGTCATCGGCGTTCGCATACCATTTCCGTTCGTTCGGTCCAGAGGCGGTCTACTGTATCGGTTAAAACGTATGGAGTACGTGTTGCAAACGCGATAAAAAGAGATATCGAATTGAACGTAGAAATTTGGTTGCACGGTACTCTGTGCCATTAGTCCGTGCCCCTCGCGAGCGTAGTTGTCCATTACCGAATCACTCGTTTTGGTTCTTTTCGCGCTTTTCGCGTTATCTCTGTGCTTTCACGGGAAACTTTTTAACTGTCTGTTTTTAATTGGAACGATATAAGCGCTTTATATCGAGTCTGCCAGAGACTGGATTCAACCACCGAGCCCGGAGAACACGCTCTCATCGTTGACAACATTCCAATTAAACATTCACTCGAAACTCGTTCTATCTATACGTACATCCTGATTGCATCGGTTACGGTCAACCGCTGGTCGTAGCAAGTGTTCCAAGTACCGGAGTTACCAATTTGGCGTTTTTCTTTTTTTACGAGCTAGCGTTACTTACAAGGAAATTATACGTCGTTCCTCCTCGAAATTAGTGCCTAAGTACTTTCAAATTGCAAGAACCGTAATGACTGATTGGAAAGGACCGCGCTTCAAGTTTTGGTTCACTCTACTTGGACAGACCTGTACAGTGGTGGAAATGATCTTCGTTTAAAAAGAGAAGAAATGCACCTGGCAAACTTGCGCGATACGACCGCGAGAGAATATAATTCGAAAGAATGGATGCGTTTTATTCTCTGACCGTGCCGTATATCATTGTCCCGCATTCTTAGGAAAGTTACGTATTTGAATGAGCAGCTGAATCGATTCTCGTAACGCCCATTTGAATAGGACTTACGTGACGAATAAAAGAGACTCGAGCCTACTAAAACTTAACCTCTGCGACCTATCAGTTAACGCAGCCAATACGAATCTCCGTACACGCGAATTGACACAACTTCCAAAATACTTGCGACATCGAATGGTATTTTCGATGAAAAGTGCGAGTGGCACGTTCACCCGGCGTGGCCTCGCGAGTACACGGTTGCAACGACCTCCCAAGGAGGATAAAACGAATTGGCACTTCGATACTTTGAACTCTCGGTAGAATAATTAGGAATAAAATTGTAAAATCCAATCGAACGAATCGCGCGAAACCACGAGTATCGTTTGCAGCTGCAGAGTAGAAAGGGGCCATATACAGAGGGTTGAGAGAAGGGGTCAGTACGAAATGGAAGATTTCCCGATGACCACTATGCGGTGTGTCCAGTAATGGATGAAACGTGAAAGAGGCAAAGCGAGAAACGGTGTGTGCATGCCTCGCGAGAGAAAAAGAAAACGGGTATATGGATAGAGAGGGAGATAGAGAGAGATAGAGATTGCAATGTTCGGGACACGAGGGAGTGGAGGGGGGTGCAGACAGGGGCGGGGCACGTCGCGGAGGGCCCTGCTCTGGAGGGAAGGCTGTAGGAGGCAGGAGGGAGAAGGGTGCCTAGCAACAGGCCTGCCGGCAGTCGGGCAGAGCAGCGTGATTAAATAAAACCAGCGTCGGGCACGGCGACCCACCAGGCGTTGACATCAGCGCACATGTACAAGGAGCCTTTTTCAGTGCTCGTGAGAGAAACTCACGCACCGGCCGTATGTGTATACGCACCGATACATTCGCGATCCGGTCTACGTACCACGAGGCCGTCCCGGTACCGAACGCGCGTTAGAACCGGCAAATTCTCTCTCATCCCACATGACTGACTTTGCCGGCTGCCATGCCGGCCGGCGGCTGCCTTTTCGCTCGCCTCCTCTATCTCCAACGACCCTCTTCTAACGCCGAGAATGCACCACCTTCGCTCAAACTTTCTCTATATACCCTTACAAGGATCCTTCAAATTTTTACGAATACCGAAATTCGGTAATTTCGACGATGCCTACTAGAGCAAAGACATCGCTTCGTTTCCTCTATTAAAAGGGGAAAAAATGGCACCGGGTCGTATCTGCAAAAGTATTACTTTTATCGCATTTTACTACCTACACCACGCTTTTAAACTTTAAAGATACACGGTCCTCTCTGTCAAAATAGTGTGCACCTAAAGAGAAAGCTCGGTAATTACTGGCTATTTTCCAGAAATTTTTAAATGATTAATAGCTACTGTAAGAAAAGCTTTCTTTTCACAATAAACACGTCCAAAATGATAAAGTAGCTTCGATAATGTACCGCTATGCAAAAGTTCATCCGATGCATCTAAACATTTTTTCTGCTCACATATTGCGACAAGGAGTTATTAATGTTTGCCTTACATTTCCAAACTGTCACAAATTTTCATTATCGAAAAAATTGTTACAAAAACCGCAAAAACTCGAGACACGAAGAAGCAGCACGGGTATAATCGAATTGACCTTTACTGCGCGAAACTCGAGTTACTGAACGTAAAACAGATAAACGAAAGATTCGAGAAGTTATTTAAAGTTTGACTGATAATGACGCAAGCGAATCGCTCCGACCGAGAGAGTATCGAACAGAAAGGACATTCCTTATTTAGAAGTCATCATGGAATCTACATATATCGTCAAAATATTGACTTTTCCTTTAAGGAAAACAAAATATTTATATTTAAACGATAACTAGTAGAGTGCAACATTTTGTAAGAACCTGTAAATTTCTGGAGGGAAGGCTGTAGGAGGCAGGAGGGAGAAGGGTGCCTAGCAACAGGCCTGCCGGCAGTCGGGCAGAGCAGCGTGATTAAATAAAACCAGCGTCGGGCACGGCGACCCACCAGGCGTTGACATCAGCGCACATGTACAAGGAGCCTTTTTCAGTGCTCGTGAGAGAAACTCACGCACCGGCCGTATGTGTATACGCACCGATACATTCGCGATCCGGTCTACGTACCACGAGGCCGTCCCGGTACCGAACGCGCGTTAGAACCGGCAAATTCTCTCTCATCCCACATGACTGACTTTGCCGGCTGCCATGCCGGCCGGCGGCTGCCTTTTCGCTCGCCTCCTCTATCTCCAACGACCCTCTTCTAACGCCGAGAATGCACCACCTTCGCTCAAACTTTCTCTATATACCCTTACAAGGATCCTTCAAATTTTTACGAATACCGAAATTCGGTAATTTCGACGATGCCTACTAGAGCAAAGACATCGCTTCGTTTCCTCTATTAAAAGGGGAAAAAATGGCACCGGGTCGTATCTGCAAAAGTATTACTTTTATCGCATTTTACTACCTACACCACGCTTTTAAACTTTAAAGATACACGGTCCTCTCTGTCAAAATAGTGTGCACCTAAAGAGAAAGCTCGGTAATTACTGGCTATTTTCCAGAAATTTTTAAATGATTAATAGCTACTGTAAGAAAAGCTTTCTTTTCACAATAAACACGTCCAAAATGATAAAGTAGCTTCGATAATGTACCGCTATGCAAAAGTTCATCCGATGCATCTAAACATTTTTTCTGCTCACATATTGCGACAAGGAGTTATTAATGTTTGCCTTACATTTCCAAACTGTCACAAATTTTCATTATCGAAAAAATTGTTACAAAAACCGCAAAAACTCGAGACACGAAGAAGCAGCACGGGTATAATCGAATTGACCTTTACTGCGCGAAACTCGAGTTACTGAACGTAAAACAGATAAACGAAAGATTCGAGAAGTTATTTAAAGTTTGACTGATAATGACGCAAGCGAATCGCTCCGACCGAGAGAGTATCGAACAGAAAGGACATTCCTTATTTAGAAGTCATCATGGAATCTACATATATCGTCAAAATATTGACTTTTCCTTTAAGGAAAACAAAATATTTATATTTAAACGATAACTAGTAGAGTGCAACATTTTGTAAGAACCTGTAAATTTTTCTGCGAAGTTCGCAGATCGATGTTATAGAACATTAGTTCGTTCATATAATCTTACAAAAGTCTCACGCTTTTTTAAAACCGTTTTTCACTTGCTAAAAACGTAATCTACTCTTAGGCATCGAAGCCACCTTTGGCACAGGTGAAATAGGGACACCTGCTCATCAGAATAGATTTTGAGATTATCTGTTCGTAATTATGCAAATGTGTTCAATAATTTGTATCTACCGGTGTCCCAGGGTCCGCAAACTCTATGTACATCCCTATCCGACATCTTCAATGTTAATTGCGATTTCACTTTAATGCTTGTATACTTAAGAGATAACGTCATCAAAAAAAAAAGATAAAATAAATACCGAAAAACCTGATATATGTATGTTACTTTGTTCAACTTATTTATACGTTTGTTAGTTTATTTAAAAAAAAAGAAGAGTTTTTGAACAGACTGTCCTTTGGTAATGTTAAGGAATACACCGACACCTGTAATAACAACGTTATCGCAAAAATGTCCTATATCGATTATTTCCGTCCTTACAAAAGTTATCGCGTGATCGATTAACCAAAAAGTCGAAACACTTTTGAAGATCAAAAATGTTATGTTAAATATCGATTAAATTTTTATAAAAGTAAAGTAAAATTTTAGAAATTTTAATTAATGGGTCAAGCAGGTACAAGCATAGATACTCCAATGAGATACTTCGATTAAACAATCGGGAGCGCATGCGCTTCAAGTTGAATTTCCAAAAAAAGCACTTGTTAATATTCGGGACGAAAAATATTTTCCCGTCGCAGTTGAAGTTATCTGATAAACAGTATCTTCGTTAATTTTTTCAGCAGCTACAATACATAATTCCTTGAACAAGCGAACATTAAAATAATTAATATTTTGACCGTCATGCACACTTCGTAACCATTTACAAAATAAAAATCCAAACGAATAAAAAAAATGAGTATCAAACGAAATACATGTCTGTGTCTCTTATTTATATCCCAAGTATTTTAGTTTAGTTTTTTCTTTTTTGCTAAATTTAACATGTTACGTAAAATCAATGCGATACCCGTGCTGCGTGTCAGAACAAAGAACGCCATCGTTAAAAGTTTTCAACGAAGAGTAAAGGGGAGTAGTGTTAAGAGGAAACGACCGTTAAGTGGCATTGCGAATAAGTGTATAGTCAAATAGTCCTCTTGTACATATTACAATTGAACCAGCACCCTTTTTGTATTTCCGTTTTTTCTATACGAACATCGCACACGTGTGTTCGTTGTACTAAACAACTTTTTCGTTAAATAAAAAATTCCGTTGTTCGAATAAAAAATGTCAGCTTCTCTTTTTGCCTGAGAGAAGTAACGAACGAAACAGAGTTGCGGTTGTATGTATATAATTTTGTTTGCTATAAAAAATTTAATACACGTATGATTCGGTACACTATCGTTCTATCGATATTCACTAAGTCTCCAATTTTCCACTGTACTATCCATAGAGTCGTGCAATCTATTAGCGAACATTCTGGAAATCACCTCGCGCCGGGCTCGTAAGGAATTATTTTCAATTTTTGAAAATGCTAATTTCAATAACTAGAATAATAAGAAAAATGGAATTTCACAACTACCGACTCGATTCTAATGCCGAGGTCGATCGAAGATCCTCGGAAAATGTGAACTGGTGCTGAAAAACTGAAGCGAAAATAAGCGAACAATTTACCTGTCCGATGCGCACGTGTTCGTTTGTTCCGGTGAGCAGCAAGATTGAGGTTAGCCGACAGGTTAGCCGGCGGCGCACCACTATTGTAATGACGTTTCCTCGTTTCTTTGGCCGCATCGATCGACATCTCTTCCGTCAAAACGTTGATCGACATCACCAGAAAAAAAGAACTGTCGAATCACTTTATACTCGGCGAGGTTTTTGAATTCGAAAGATCGTATTCGTTTCGTAAGCCGGCATTGCGGCGTTACCGGCTTATGCCGGTTAAGTGTCACAGTCACGTCTCGAAATTATTTTTGACGCGACTTTTACCCTTCATACCGTAAGACCGGTTCCCAGTTATTCCTTGCTCTTTTTTCCTTCGCCGTTTCACCATTTGCTAATTCGCAACGGATAACTCGCGAATATCCAACGAGTATATAGGCGCTTCGACACCGAACAACGTGACAACCATTTCTATTCGGTTTTTCGACCTCGTTCGAGGTCGATACATGTCGACCATTGGACAATGATCGTCAGCCGAAATACGTACGTTTTCCTAACGACGAACATGTACGAAATACCGTCGTCTTTCAAGCTCTCTTTCTCTCATGCACACACTCTTTCTCTCTCTGTCTCAGACAACACGCTCTCTATCTTGGTCGTGACCAGTGGAAATGGCCATGTTTTAACACGTCACCAAACACTCGGCAATTCGCTCACACGCCGACATACGTGGCAGTGAACGGTACGAAACACAGTGTTACGGATCCGTGGACGTAACCGTTCTCGGTAGAATTTCCGAGAAGATACTCGCCGGTCGCAGAAAACACGTTGCAAAGAACGCGCAGACTCGGAAAGAAAAGCCGAGAGAGAGAGAGACGAACTGAACGGTCAGTGCGTGAAGAAAAAGTATGGAAGTTGCGAATCGACGAGCGAGAAACGAACGATTTATATATGTAGAAAGAGAAAATAGCGAGGGCAGAATCGGTGGACGGTGATGGCAGAAAGTGCTCGATCGCAGAGCGAACGCAGAACGATGTGCGAAAATACCTCTTTCACGAACAGCCGGCGACGAACTGGCCGATTGGCCGTTGCACGGGGCGCAAAACTGCCGGTCTCGCGGCGCGCCGCTACTACCCATCCTGCACGATGTAGACCCCACCGAGCGGCCCGATCCTAGACGAACGCGCACGATGCTGATCGGAGCTAGCCGAATTCGAGCGGAAGCCCACCGTGCCGAGAACCGCCGAAGCGCGTCGAACCTTTGTACTTTCCGCCCATCTCATCGGGAATTCCTGTTGGAATCGCCGCCACGGTCGATCCTTTATCCGTGCGCGCCACGACGACGCTCCTCTATCTCTTCTGTGAACGTCTGACGATGAGTGCCATGCCGTGTGGGGGGCCAGCGACCGCGATCTACCGAAATTTAGCCCGAGCTTTCCCACCGAATTCGAGGAAGATATTTCGTGCGCCGCGCCACGCCGCGCCACGCCGCGCCACTCCGCGCCGGAACTAACTGCCATCTCCCTGAATACCACGAGCTGACTTCGCGTTCGAAATAATTTCGAGTTCGACCGTTCGCGAAGAAAGGATCGAAACGAAACTTTTGCCTCGAACCAATTTTGTCGATTACGAATTCCTTGTCGTTTTTCTGTAACGGTAGCGCACGAATTCGTGGTATTGTCCGACTTTTCATCGAGTCAGTAATGCTATTTTCAGGAGTAGGATATCTTTCTATTTATTGCCAAATCTATCGACCAAGGAAATTGTTGCAGCGAAACGCGCACACTCGAGGGCTTCGTTTCGCCAACACTAATGCTTCAATATTCTGAAGACTCTGCAGTATACGCTTGTATACGTGGGATATGCATATAGACTTTAGTCGTTATTACACGATCTTGTGCAATTGCAAGCGCCCGGCGCCAGCTCCTTCCTTGCTTCATACAAATTTCAACGCTTACAAAGTAATAGCGCGTATCTTCATCCTGATATTATTTTACCCTTTTCTGTGTCTGGGGAAGATTGTGCGTCCAATTATCGGGTAGCCTTTATAAGTGGTCCGTGAACGAAGGTAAATGGAATATATAAATGATGAGCGAATAAATGTAAAACTTCTTTGGTACGATGAAGAGAGAGCTCGATGGGAGTGGTGGAGACGCTTTTAAAGATCCGCGAGAATCGAAACGTTTCATTAAGTATCGGTTAATAAATCGAGCTAATAAAGTCGACAGGATTTTTAGTTTACATCTTGAATCACGGTCGTACAAAGGGATTCTTTGTCTCGTTTATGAGATACGCGACGATTGAGATGCTGCCGGTCTCGCGGCGCGCCGCTACTACCCATCCTGCACGATGTAGACCCCACCGAGCGGCCCGATCCTAGACGAACGCGCACGATGCTGATCGGAGCTAGCCGAATTCGAGCGGAAGCCCACCGTGCCGAGAACCGCCGAAGCGCGTCGAACCTTTGTACTTTCCGCCCATCTCATCGGGAATTCCTGTTGGAATCGCCGCCACGGTCGATCCTTTATCCGTGCGCGCCACGACGACGCTCCTCTATCTCTTCTGTGAACGTCTGACGATGAGTGCCATGCCGTGTGGGGGGCCAGCGACCGCGATCTACCGAAATTTAGCCCGAGCTTTCCCACCGAATTCGAGGAAGATATTTCGTGCGCCGCGCCACGCCGCGCCACGCCGCGCCACTCCGCGCCGGAACTAACTGCCATCTCCCTGAATACCACGAGCTGACTTCGCGTTCGAAATAATTTCGAGTTCGACCGTTCGCGAAGAAAGGATCGAAACGAAACTTTTGCCTCGAACCAATTTTGTCGATTACGAATTCCTTGTCGTTTTTCTGTAACGGTAGCGCACGAATTCGTGGTATTGTCCGACTTTTCATCGAGTCAGTAATGCTATTTTCAGGAGTAGGATATCTTTCTATTTATTGCCAAATCTATCGACCAAGGAAATTGTTGCAGCGAAACGCGCACACTCGAGGGCTTCGTTTCGCCAACACTAATGCTTCAATATTCTGAAGACTCTGCAGTATACGCTTGTATACGTGGGATATGCATATAGACTTTAGTCGTTATTACACGATCTTGTGCAATTGCAAGCGCCCGGCGCCAGCTCCTTCCTTGCTTCATACAAATTTCAACGCTTACAAAGTAATAGCGCGTATCTTCATCCTGATATTATTTTACCCTTTTCTGTGTCTGGGGAAGATTGTGCGTCCAATTATCGGGTAGCCTTTATAAGTGGTCCGTGAACGAAGGTAAATGGAATATATAAATGATGAGCGAATAAATGTAAAACTTCTTTGGTACGATGAAGAGAGAGCTCGATGGGAGTGGTGGAGACGCTTTTAAAGATCCGCGAGAATCGAAACGTTTCATTAAGTATCGGTTAATAAATCGAGCTAATAAAGTCGACAGGATTTTTAGTTTACATCTTGAATCACGGTCGTACAAAGGGATTCTTTGTCTCGTTTATGAGATACGCGACGATTGAGATGTTATCCGACTAACGAAACGAAAAGAACTCCGAAACCCTATTTATCCATGCAACTGAATTCGTTTGCTAATAAAACGTTGTGATCTATAAATGGACGGCGGTCCATTTGCTCCAGGGGAATTGAAGAGCAGATCGATTCGTCTTGAACACCAATCGTGAAAAGGGAAAAATCTCGAATAATAACGCGAGAGCGGAGTTATTCTTTGCATCGACCTTTAAAACTTATCAATTACCGAACAGACCACTGCAATTAATAGTGAAATTATTCGCGATAACGGAATCGGATACGGACGTCGTTAACTTTTTATTCCGCGTACCGATGCTTCGATCGTTACCTCCCGATCACACTGTTCGATCATTCGCGAGAACGATCCGATTCGGGACATCGTAAACTCTCGAGCCACAGCATCGTCGAGTGTGAGGGTGCGTTTAGACCGAACGAGCAAATTCTTTCCCCGCTTTGGTAAAATTCAAGCGTAGGGTATTCTTCCGTCATTGGACCACTGCCCAATTCGACACGATTCTATTCCGTGCAATTCGAGTAGCCGCAATTCAATTCGACGCTATTCGATTTAAACTCCATAAACATCAGCTGGCAATTATCTGTTTAGCGTGACCGGACAGTTTGCTCGATGAGTCGTTTACACGTGGACGAGCACCAACGAAATATCTTATACTCGTTGCTGCTCGTTTACTCGAGGCGTACCCTGACACTCTACCGACACCGGATCGAATCGCGGTTGACTTCGGGACGCGAAAAATTTCGGTTTACGCGTACGAAGAGGATGAAAAAGAGTTAGTAAGCTGCTGTCCGACCGCGCATAATTTCATTTGGATCCGGTCGTGGACGTCGCAATTTGAGAAACCAGCTGGTATCATTTGATGTGTATGGACTGCGACGGTAGAGTTGCAGAGATGGCTGGTGATGGTGAATAGGAGTATCGAGGGGAGGGAGCGAGGATGACTGGAGGCAGATAGGTGACAAGGGGATGGGCCTTCAGTGGGGCGGACGGAGAAACATCCAGGGAAAGCAAGAAAGGGACGAACGTGAAACAAGGAGGAGAGAAAAGGGAATATAGAGAGTAGCATAGAACAGAGAAGGAAAACGATAATTTGTCATGGAAGGGGCACGTGGTAGAGAAGCAGAGACAAAGTAAGAAAGAGAGAAGAGGGAGAGACTGCTGGGTCCTTCACCCGACGAACGAACCGAACGAATAGCTTGTCGCTGCTGCTGCTGCTGCTTGCATTTTGCTCGCCGCTGGACTGCTTGCCTATCTGTCTGGTCCGAACGATTATTATCGCACTGATCTGGTACAATGCACGAAGCATTACATACTAGGTCCGTACTGCCGTTATCCAGGTTTCGACACCATGCGCGGCTGCGGAATTTCCCATTCCTGATTAAATTTTCAGAAGCGCTCCTTGCACCTGTGTCTTTTGGACAAGCTTATCCAGTCGAGTTCCATCCGGTAATTACAACCATCTCTAACTAAGGCTACATTTTCACGTGACGGTGAATCTTTTACCACCGTGACACGAAACGTCGTGTCACTCTCGCGGACACGGTCGCGACACAAAATCCAATGCCAGGACACCATAATTTGGATTTAGTTCCCTAAAAGTTTCGAACATTTTACGAGTATTCCTATGACCGCGTTGCCGAATAAAGAGTCGCGTTTGTTAACTCGCGAGCAGAAAGAGATACAGAGTTATTGTTGCAAGGGGTGCCGCGATAGAACCAGGCAGGTTCTGTATTCTCAGAAACGATCGGACTTCTCGAAGGAAGATTAAGGACTTATGCAAACACGTCAGTACACGCGTTCACGTTCGAACGATAGGTCTTACAACGTGGCTATAGAATCCGCCAAGTAAAGCTGTCGCGAAGGAGATACCGAATGTTTTGTATGGACGATTCCCGGCCAAGCCATACCGTCACTGAACTTGGGCTATACGCGACGCTATCGCGATCTTTCTCTTAAGAACCAACAGTCGTTGGAGTACAAGGATACGTCTCATCGTGAATAATCTATGTATGTACATTAGGCGTATCGAGAAATATTTTGTTCGCACATTATGTAGACAATTGCGCGGAGAACTCTGGCTTATTTATGTCACGATATCTCCTTAAGAAAGTTGCGAGAACAACCCTTTAAATTTAAACGCGTGAAAGTTTTTTCAACGAACGAAGACATTCCGAAGGCTCGGATAAGCGATAGAAAGTTCATTTATGGCTAACTTACCTATACGAAAATTTGAAACCGATACAAACGTTTATGGACGAAGACTCGAAGTTTCGAACTCCCAAATTTCCAAAGTCCCAAAATTAGGTATCCCTCGATCGACAATTTCGATGCCATCAGATGCTACAACAATGACCAGAGACGTGTAGAAACTATATATCGTTAACTGGCCAAACACAAGGCACGCCTAAGTACATCTATGTACTTGATACGGAACACAAACGAGAATGACCAAATGCTCTTTGAACGTGCTTCTAAGTCGATTTTCCGGCAAATAGGTTCAAAAGGAACTCGGAGCCAATCTCGCTGATTGGTTAATGGCAACCAAAGCTGAAATTTGTAACATTAGGCAATTATTTGCTTTGGAAACCAGCTATTACTAAGTACATTGGATTGCGGTCCGCACTACGGCAACCAACGTGTATCTATTATTCATACCATCTATGTACTTTTGTCTCTCTATATTTTCCAAAAGTTTTCGCGCACACATATGCACCATCGAGTTATTCACTTTGTGGAGCTATTTCATTAAGTAATTTGTAACTTCTAATTTTTTTGACGTATTACTGGCTAATTTGCAACCGCGGAGTTCTTTTTCTTCCCTTTTATTTATTGTTCTTTATACTCCCCAGATTCTCTCTCTCTCTCTTGAACTATGGTAAATTCGCATCAGCCATCGGCCGGTGCCAATAACGTACCAAGGCAGATGGGAAATGTGGCGAGAGTTTGGTGGTTGGTCTGACTGCAGTGGGGGAAAGGGATGCTTACTGTCTGCAGGGCCGTGTTCATCGATCAACGAACCCGTCTCTCGTCATCTCGAATGATACCCAGTCTTTCACCTACTTTGCTAACGAACCGCATTATTGATTCGAATCGTACTTTACCTTCCATTGACGAATCGGTAAAAACCTATTGTCATATGCCATCTTATTCTTATCGCGTACCATCGAATGCTGCTACATTCTTTTTCGATGCATACAAATTTCTTCTACCCTGCGTACGTATTTCTATGAACGTTCGAAAATAATGATACGAGAATTTGTTTGTTCAGTTTATTTATTTTCGAAAATTAATTCCATCGCAATGTTAAACGAGAAATTATTAAAGAAATATCTTTTCGTATAATTTGAGATCTTTGATTCTGACAAAAAATTATGCATGCGTCGTAAAGATAGGGGCCGAAAAGGTTCTGCATGTTAATTTCAAGGTGTCTGGAGACCTTGAGCGTCTATAATTACGCCATATAAAAATGAAAGAAATTCTTTGCAAGTTAGTCGCCGTTTCTTTGTTGGAGCATTTCACGCGAAACTTTCGAAGGTTAAAATTTTCAACGTTGCGATACAATGTTTCGATTTGAACTATGCAAATTTCTTTTTATTATTCATTACGCCGTGAAAGATATCGAAAACATAATATCCCGCGCAGAAATGTTAAAAGCTTAAAATAACGAGACGAAACCTTAACAAGACTAACGGTAAGAGGGAGTTATTAATAATTCGTGTTTTTTGAAAGATGCAAATAATTTTTGCAAATTTCTTCCGAGTATCTCGTTCGCGTAGACAAACGCGTAGTTGCAATTATATCGAAAGAAACAGTCAGATAATTTATTTATACAGGGTGGACGGTGGTAGAAATACTTTTCTTTCATTGCGGAGAAATGCTACGACGTAGTTACCCTGGAGCCCCAGAGACAATAGAAAGCCACGTTCTTATCTTGTTAACGTCACTTCGTTCAAGCTCGAGTGCAACGTGAAACGATCGTCACGATGCTCGTTCTTCGGAACGACCCTGACAAAGTCTGACTAGACGGCCAGACACGCGCGAGACGGTTTAAGCGTTTTGTAAATACTATAATAAGTCTATGCTTCTTATCGCTATATCGAACACTATCGTGCATGGTAATGGATTCTAAATTTGTGCATGTTCTCAACTTAGTATTGTACATGCATAAAACAGCATTCTATTATTGTACGCTTTCTCGATATCTTCGACTCTCGTGTCGATAACCAAAACGGAATCTAGAACGGGGCTTCCTAAACTTTCGTGGGCCAAAACCCGGTCTCGAAAACGGTATTTCTTCGCGATCAACTCGCTCGTTTCCGGAGTTCGAAAATTTCAAAGTTCCAACTTACCAAGCTCCGAAATTTCCAAGTTAAGGCCTCGAAATCCCGATACAAGAAAGTTCGAGTGTCTTAAAATTCCAAAATCTCGAAGTTTAAACGGCTATAACCAAAATTGCAGGTTCGAGACGCGGTCCATCGTAGTTTAGACGTTAGCGATGGACAAGTAGGCAGTAAACCTGCGACAGCGTACAAAGAACGTGGGTTGATGGAAAAGAGAGAAGACAGTGTTCAAGAAGCAGAAGAGAAAGGAGGCGGAGAAAGAAAGGAAGAGATAAGAAGAGAAAGAAAGGGCGAAGGGTGAGAGGAAGGAAGAAAGGAAAAAACGAGAAGCATTGGCAATGCAGTGATACGCAGTGGCAGCAGTGGCGCCGAAAATGCAATGCGGTGCGCCGGAACGACGGCGTCGGCGTCGGGCGTGGCGGATAACTGACCTCGACTCGTCTAGCCCGGCCGCCCCTCGCGTCGCACCGTTTCCCAACGCTCTTAGGCTGCGTTCACACTCTTCTGCTCGCTTCTGCATTTTCTTCTCAACATCAATTTGACCAATTCGATCATTATTTAAATTTTCATTTGTTACTTATTGTCATGGCAATTAGAATTTTTGTGACGTTAAAAATTACCTTATACGGTAATTTGACTTGTAACTAGACCGTGGATGGACATCAAAGTCTATGAAATAAAAATAAACCATGTTATCTGTAGATTGCAGTTCTCCATGTAGATTACATGGTATATTTATACTTTGCAGACCTCGGTGTATCTGTCAGTTCTTTATGTAACTGCACAAACATTCGCAATTATGACTGTAAAAAGCGGAATCGAACGTCACGACGTTCTACGACAACACATTGTTTGCTTAATAACGCTAGCCAAAAAAAAAATGAATGGCAAAGTGTTTATCTTGTTATCCAGACAGAAGTTAAATAGCTTAAGTATTTTTGGAAGTATTTTAGTGTTATTAGTTATTGTAATGGGCATTTCCAGTAAGGTGTAAGGTCTAAAGCAAGGTGAACGATGCCTTAGGTCTATCCCTCTGATGCAGCATCGTGCCAGTGAGCCCCCACTATTCGCGACGTCGAATACTACCACTACGCGCCACCACTGGTAACTTCTTTACTCTAGCACACGTTACCGTCTCTCTTTCTCCCTCGAAAGCTTTCGTTCTTGTCCTACGGTCAAATGGTCGCGTTACCCCTCCAACGACGACCTTACTCCCTCTACACCTGCCTTACACCCGCTCCCCACCCCTTCGTTCCTCTCGTATCGTCACTGTTCGATTCTTCTCTCCTCTGCTCTCCCGTCTGCTCTTCTCGTCTCGTCGCGGCCTTCCGCGCCCCTGGCAGATCGGCAGACAGCAGTCTGACTGTCTGGTTGCCCGGCAACGCGCCACTACCCGTCGCCGTTGACGTCGCCGTCGCCGTCGATGAGAGAGGGTGAATTCAGCGATAGTTACGTGCCGCATGCTGCACGAGCAAATGCTACCAAGAGATACCGATCAAAAATTGGCTAAATTCCTTGTCTTTCCATGCTACGGGAGATGTAAGTTCCTTGCGATTAGAAAACCTACGAGGATCTTAGAGAAATGCTAGAGAAAACTCGAGACAACTTAGACACCGAATCAAATCGTTTACCGAACACTGTTTCCTAATCGATTAACGAAACATGTGTTATCTAAATCATTGACGTGCCCATCAAATTTTCCCTCATTGTCACTTTCCGTTTAAAAGCTTACTTCGAAATACGGGTCATAAATTTTACTTTATTTATGACTACCGATGAAGGTTTAGCTTTGTTTCGATTTTGGAAAATAAGTGACAATGGAGATTTGCAATCAGTGAAAATATCAATGTGGACGTTGTCATTATTCTTCATTTATTACTTATACCTAAAGGAAAAATCGTATTGTTTCGAGCACAAGGTATGCCGGTAGAACAGTTCAGGTATAACTAGGTACTGATATTATCTACGAGATATACGAAAGCAATGGTTCGTGTCATTGTTTGAGTCGAAACTAAGATTTTCAGGAATCTATTCTTCGAAATTTCTCCAAGGAACGGTATCTTCCGAAGAATAAAAGAACAATGCCGAAGGTAGTAAGGAACGAACGTGTACACAGTTATAAAGCTATTAAACGTCTTTGTCTCTTGCTTTTACCTTTTATTTTATAAAAGATCGATATTTCTAATGTATTTATACCTTCCCTTGGACAACAATACACCCCGGGTCCAGGCAACAGAAAATGTCTGATACAAAAAATTTGATTGTATTTTAATCGGTTGATTACGAGACAACAAAAATGTATAGACTGACTAGTTAACTTGGTTATACGTTGCAACAACATTCCTTTGTTAGATACCAATTCCTTAGCCAATAAGGTTCGGCTGTGTGACTCATAACACAACTGCTCAGTGACTCAGACCCTGAGATTGCCAGCAATGTCTTGAGACGTGGCATCCGAATCTAAATCATGAGTGATGCTAAGACCTCCAAATACCTAAGACTTTGGCACCCTGGGACTTGAAATTTTCAAATTTCCTCGCTTTCGGGCTTTGGAAAATACTGCGTTATAAGCGGATGGGTTGCGAAAATTTATTTTCGTTTATAAATGTTTTTGGAAAGACCTGCTATAAAAGATGCGACAAAATGTTGTATGCGCGAATCAATGGTTTAAATATGTCTCTAGTGAATTTCGCGAAACTAATAAAAATGTTTATATCCTATAAAAGACTTTATGATTGTAGAGATGTATAAAAAAAAAATATGAAATTGAGTACGGCACTAATTCAACAATTATGCATGACTAAGTTATTATTAATCGCTGGCTGCGATGGTCATTGACTGAAATGGCTGTGAATCAACTTATCTATGGAATGCTTCTGTTATGCGTCGTGTCGCGTTGCATTCTTCTGACGTTGGTTACAAAACACGTGTTATTCCGTAAGTAACGTATTTTCAGCATTTATTTCGTTATGTAAGTTATATACATATGTATACCTTCTTTTTCTACTACGAATAAAATCATAAAAGACTGCGTTCCCTTTTATGTAATTATTTTTCTGTTTTATTGTCATTTCAGTGTAAGATTAAACATTCATTCTTTTAAGTAAAAAATATTATTTTATTTGGAATATGTCAAAAATTTGTTATTATAAAGCGAAACGTTAGCATAAATGCTAAAGTAATGCTAATCGTCAAAATATCCTTATACAGTTCAATTATTTTCAATCTTAAATAAACGATGTTCTTACCAACAGTAATGCTTATTTTCATTAATGCCTTATCTGTACATTAACAATTCACAAGAATTTAATGACCTTATAATATGTAAATTATTTGTACAAGTTAACTATCATATAAAATGAGTATGTTTTTTATATTCGAATTTCATTGCATAAACGAGCGTGTATCTTTGTTGGATTCGCTATTATACTCTCTTCATTTACATATACAGATGTTGTAATGTCATTTAAATTATGGTATATGGTTACAGATATATGTATGTGTGTATGTATATACACGACAAGACACAAATTGACTGAAATATTAACAATGTTTAAGACTATTAAACATTTCATTTTTTATGTATTATTCATACAGTAAAACGTTAGACGTGTACATTCTGTCTCGCTTATATCTTTGTAATATATCACATCATACTAATCTTAAATATGATCTAAATATATATAAAATTATAATTTTCGTGACGTGTGAAAAAAATACAGAAGTGAGAATAAATTGTACATATTATTCAATAAAATTCATGCATATGTTCCATTTCTTTAATATGCATATACAACTGATTTATATTACGTGTATTTGTATTTATTTAGGTGTTCATTAAAATTTTTCTTCTACAAATTCCTTTGCTCTCCATATTATTAGTCGTATAAGATAAAATGTTCATAGTCAAAGATTTTTTCAACGAAACAAACATAATTATAAAATAATGTTTTGCAACTTAATATATTTTAACGAGTGAAAAATTGAATGACACACATTTTCTATGTTACAAAACAATTTCGTTTCTTCGTAATCTTATTTTTATAAATAAGATGGAAAGCACAAAGGTGTATAATCTGATATTTTAATGTTTACTACCTACACCTTATCTACAAAGCATGTATAGTATCAAATAATTGTAAACGGCTGACTAGACACATACCTACTGTGTAATAGGTAATTCGGATGTTATTGTATATTACTATCAGATCGTCAAGCATTACGAGAAACGCATACAACAAAACTATGCTAATGACCGTAGATAACTGAAAAGTGAATGGAATATAAAAAAGTTCTACGCTTAATATATTTGTATGAAAAAATGTCTGTGCTAAAAAAAAAATGTTACGTGTGTGTAAATTCGAGAAATATATCTTATAAGAAAGTTGACTGAATTTTATCATTTTTACATACTTTGTAAGGGAATGTGCAGATAGTAAACAAGTACAAAGTATTAAAAATTTTTGCTATTACATTTACACAGCATTGACTCACCAACATCGTGATAACTTTGTTTTTCGATACCCTCAAACATATTGCTTATATCAAGGGTTTTGGAAGATCTTTACTATTCATAATTTTGACAATCTTCACCTTAATTTTACATCGAAATGCATCAACGATACAAACGGGCAAAATTACGTAAGGCATGGTTCACGGATTTTGCACTCTCCGCCCTATGAACAAAGAAATATTATGAAAATTTTAATAGATGGAAATATAACGTTAATAATTATAATTTCATGTACCTAGTCACCGTATTATGAAATTCAAAGAGTTGTTCGGGTTGTGCCGTGGGAGAACCACCCGCGTTTTGCGAGGGCATGGTTTTGATGGCTTCTTCTAACCATTTCGATAGCAGCTAGATAATAAATATTATGTTAATTATTCGCGAAAAATAATTCATTATTTAATAAAATCTAAATAAGTCTTACTTCTCTATTGCTTAGAGAAAGTTCAACAAAAACATCCGCTACGTCAGATAACATGTAAGACGACAGTGAAAATACTGATGCATGAAGTAACCTTACGACCAGTGTTTGCCCCTTCTCTTTTAATATACTTTGGACCAATTCCCTTCGCATCGCATAGTCTGCCCGGTTCTTAACAAATAAAAATATATATAAAATAAAAGTTAAAATCGTAAATCGGTCAAACAAAGCACTTGTACTTTCGATTTTAAATTACCTCATAATTACGTCCACAATGTAAAAGATCGTAGAAGAATTTCATTACCGATACATTTGCGTCTCTATGGTCTAAGCTGCAAGCCATCAAGGCACAGTCAATTATACTTTCTATCACAACTGAGTGTAAAAAGGGTATAGGAGCCCTTTGAAGGAACCTATTTTTAAATACGAACATATTTATTTGGAAAATGAATTTATAATTTATAAACTGCAAGAATAATGCAATTATATACCTTGCACATAATCTAAACAAATCGTCTACCGTATCAGGATGATTTTTCAACCCATCCTGCTGCTGAAGTATACTGAAGGTAGGCCCTAAAAATGCTTCCACCATTCTCAACAAACCTGAGACACATTCAGAATCTATAGCATATTCGTCAACTAATATTGAACCAAGATATAAAAAACAACTATGTTGGTGAGCTGCATACAATTGCACGATCTGGAAATTTACAAATTAATTAAAGCATATTCTGTGTCATTTATAAATAAAGAAATACCTGTTTGACGAGCGGCTCAAGTAGATGGGCGGAATGTTTTCCTACACAGCGAACGGCAAATCTCAAACAACGACAACACCTTTCCATCAGTTTTGCGTCATGTTGATATGTTGTGCATACGTTTGATAATATGGGCCACATCTGTATATAATAGCGATATTAGTCAAAATAAAGCCATCTACTTATTATCGAGATTGTAATTGCGGTACTAATAGCAAAACCTACTTCAGTTACAGCACTTTGGCAAGGGTGAGGTTCGTTAGGATTATCAATTTGAGGATCAGTATGCCTAAATATAGCAGCTAATCTATCTAACCATATCACAGGATCAGTCTTTGTCCCTATTTCGATCGGTATTCTACGTTCCATAATTTCACATAACGGTCTCGCTTGAAACCAGCACAATTCCTTCATAGCTTGGGTAAGTTCTTCGCGCGGCAAACTCGACATGATGATTGCAACTCCTATTGCAAAATAATAAAATAATGTATTAAAACTCTCTAAGTTAATCTACTATTTTTGTGAAAATAAATATTGAGTTACTTTACCCTTAAGTAATCCAATAGCTGCATCATTACTAATAGCAAAATTGTCAAGAGATCGTGCAATTTGCAATAATCCTGGAAAATGTGAAGCCATATGTAATGGGCAAGCTGTACAAATACTTAATAATGCTCCACAAGCAGCGCTTCCTAAGCCTTTTTGACTTAAACAAGTCAGGAGAAAATTTAAAACCGGTTCTGTAACAACGTGTAAATATGAACACAACATGACTAGAAGGAACTATTAAAAAAATTGTTTCAAAGCTTTACCTAGCGATTGAGGATGACTATTTATCCATTCACAAAGTTCTCCCAGTAAAAGAATACTTGTATGACGAACTGCTATGTGAGTATTTTCTGGCAAATTTAAAATAGCCTCTACTACTTTTGGAACTACGTCATTTTCTTTCCTATAAGCATACGTCGTAAAATTTACATCGTGGGAGTAATACTTAATGCAAGTTTGATACAAATACTCACGGTAAAATATTTTTTGCAACAGCTTGCATTACAAACAGGGCTGCCTCGGTTGAATCCCATGTAGGTATATGATTAGGTTGACCCTGGGGGCCTGGACCACCCGTTAAAGAGGAAAACATTTGCCGAAAACAGTGGCTACTTCCAACTACAAACACCACATCTTTGATCAGTTCCGAAACACGATTTCTGAAATCTGCGAATTCCTCTCCACCAGCACCCTCTTCTACTAGACCCAACTGTTTACAAAATTGATATTTGTAGCATTGTTACACAGAAGGTACAAATTAAATTAAATATTACAGCTACTAACATGATCTGGTTCCATTTGGCAGTGCCTACATAATGCTCCAATTAGTCTCTGAATATGTGGCCGAAATACGGCATTAAGGTCATCACTATTTTTTTGGTATAAAATTTCAGATAAACGATACCATAGATTAAAAGTTATTTGCGCCACCTGATACAAACGTAATATATGCTATCAACCGATAATAAACATTGGAAATAAAAAACAAATACCTACTTCATAATCATGGTGTCCAACACAAACTAAAACAAGGTCAAGAATTTTAATAGCATAATGTTGTTTTCCTCCTACACAGCCATTTACCATGGTTTCTAGAAAAGTCTCAGCTAATTCCGTAAAAATGCGGCAATAATTTATTGATCTAAACAATATTAATGCAATAATCAAATAAATATTTCATTTAATTTGTAAACTCTACTGCATTTCTAATTACATAGAAGAAATAAAGTTTACTTGTCCATATCTTCGTGTGCAACAGATAAGTGATACGGTTGTTCTAATGCCATTACACTAGTGAATAGGAAGAGCTGCAATTGTTGTAACTGTATATCTAGCTCCTGATTTACATTACTATCTTTATTATCACGACTTTTACTATTATCTTCCTCCAGAACTTGCAGAATTACGCATATGCAATCTGCAGCTGCTTCGTGTAATTGAGATCCAGTCATATGATTCCCAAGTATCTAAAGGATAATGTATTACACGTATCATGTTCAAAATTTACTCAAATTGACTTATATTCATTATTGAAATAACTTACTTGTAGAGTATATACAATAACATCACTTGTGGGTACAAGAGGTATAGCATGTACCGCGATCCAACTTGTAAAACATCTAAGAATTGTTATACGAATTTGTACATTGTCTCCACCATTCTTTAAACACATTTTCTGAATATAGAACGAAGATTAATAAAATGCAATTAAAATATTAATATTTAAATACCCTCACTAACTACTTACCAAAAATTCTGTTACTGTATCTGCACTTGCATTGAGTTCAAGTAATATATGTTGTCTACGATTAGCTCCTAATCTACATGATTTGAATAAAAAATTTAGTTAAAAATGTAATCAAACATATTTACAGAATTTTTTTACTGTATTAAGATCATTATACCTGAGAGATCGTGAATTTACTTCTTCTGGCAATACTGTCATCACTTCAAGTAATGGCCACAAACTTGCAGTTGACCCACCAAATCTATTAATTAAATCAACAACTGGTTTTTGCCAGGTAGACATTTGTAACGCAAGATCTGCTAATGCTAAACATAACTATAATAATTTTTCTTATCATTATGATTATTTAAATACATAATAACAATATTACATTATATGAAATATGTTATGCAAAAACCTGTGTAACAATAGCAGAGTTGGTATGTTCATTAATTTGGGATATGTGGTTCATCAAGGAATCTCTTAAAGAAATATGAGCTTCTGCAGGTAATTCTTGAAAGCATAGCTGTATTTTGGTACGCATTGTTTGTGCAGCAAAATAACAAGATTGAATATCTCGTTTTTGCTGCAGCATCTCATCTGCTATTTTCCATGCAAATACCTAAAATAATACGTATATATGACAATCATTATATTTCCAATTTATTTTCTGTGTTAAAATTTTGTACTATACGCATAAAAGCCAAGGAATAAAAGTTTTGCAATACAAGGTTAGAAAGTGTTCCATTTAGTTATTTCTTGATCATAACTTTACATATAAATATCATGAAATTGTCAATAATTTCATAACTGAGATGTAAAAGTACAAAATAACAAACGTACGAGATCAGGAAATTCATAATAGCTATTACAAAAAGACCGCTAACGAATCATTTACCGATTTTTGTAGTTCGTCCAACCATTGAGATGTTTTTCCTGGTCCTGAAGGATTTGAATTATTATACAAAGAATATACAGCCTGGTAAACAGTTTCCAGGTCAGGTGGTGACTCCATTCTTCAAAAAACTATTATTTTCCCGATAATATCCATACAGTTAATTTCTACTGACAACAGATCAGTCGCGTTTCGTACCGCGTTACATACAATCTTTAAGTCCAACCTATACAATCACCAAAAAGTTCTTGTTCACGTTATCAGTGCTTATTCTGCTTTATCGACTTATAACAAATCATTTTTGTTTATTAAATCCCATTTATATAAGTAATATAAAATATATACGACAAATAAGAATTTGTTAACGAAAAATTATTTCTTATAATCGACATATAGTTTCATTTACTTTATATCAATAATTTTCACATCGAATTTGAATTTGCATGGATTGTCATGTACGTACATATATCTATCAATCAGAATTTAGCTGATATATGTTATTATGCATTAAATATTTATATAAGATTATAAACATTTTTTATATTCCATTTAATATAAACTTATAATTCAGAAGAATGCACGACATTCGGTGTGTTGATTTATTCCAATAATTTTAAACAATTGCACAGAATTCCAAAAGTACATAAATAATTCTTTGTAAACTTATAGTATACATTTTTCCAAAATAAGAAGGAAAATCGCGCTCAAAAATGTTTACTTTCATTGCAAGCTGTTTGCTTTATTACAGAGCTTTTGGAGAAGTGTGTATCACAAATTTTCAGAATTGCTACTTTTGTAATTCTCTACAACTCTACGATATTTAAACGCATTCCTGTATCAAAGATCTTGCGCTACCCTTGCAGTTGTATTATAATTTTACCTCTAATTTGAATAATCTTTCAATACTTTATGTTATAACGTAACAGACTTTCAAATATCCCGCTTTCTATGCATTATCCACGAAGTATTTTATAAGAGAAGATATGTACACGTAGCTGAAAAATTTCGATTTTCAGTAGACATTATTCTATTGCGAGTTTTGTATGATCCGTGAAAGCGATGCAGCCGAGGTTCATGACTTTTGACAGTTGTGTAATAAACACAAGAAATAACATTAGAAACGTACAATGAATGATTATAAAATTCCGATAATTGAACCAACTATCGATTACACAAAGGTGCACATATTGGATTTTAGGTTTTACTTGAAACATCTATACGTCATATTAGAAACTCATGTTTCCACATTCTTTAAATCATAATTGTGTTTCTACTATCAGGTTCCACCAATCAATCAAAAGAGAACGATTTCCTTTATCAATCATTTTATTGTACATACTGTAACATTTCTTAATAAGTTTGCTATGTCATGCGAAGAAAGACTGTTCGAGTTTGAAAACAAGCTTCAAAAAATTGAAGCGTCATTAGAAATTTTAGAATCTTGGGTATGTCAATCTTTTATATTTTAACAAATAAACAGAATTGTAAACAACATTTGACATACTTTATTTGAATGATTTATTTATTTCTCTTAGCTATCATCTGTACCTCATTTAGAACAAGACCAAAGCGCTAAAGATATTATAGAAGATAAAAGTAATAAACAAGAAGAACAACAAAATGTATCAAAAATAGATGAACCTGACAGTGTCAAAGAAGAAGAGCCTAAGGATACACAAATTGACGAGCAACCAATAAGTAAAGACCCACGTTACGAGAAATATTTTAAAATGATACACTTTGGTGTACCAAAAGGAGCAATCAAATTGAAGATGGAGCAAGAGGGATTGGATCCTTCCATATTGGAGTAAGTTCTAATTAATGTTCTTGAATTTTTCATTAACACATGTCATAAAATGTAACATATACGTATGTTTTAAAATTTAACGGGGTCTTTCATGATGAGACAACGTTAATGTACTCATTAACACACTATTAATATAATACTTATTTGTTTACATTAACAGTGATTCCCAGCAAATAATTTCTAAGCAGAAGTCTACAAATAGTGGTGAGAGTAAAACAGATTAAATATTTAGTTATGCTATGTTAAGCACATGAACTATTTTCACGTTATAAAATATAGTTAAAAAAAAAAATAAACAACTATACAAATTCAGAAGGATTTATTTCATTTCTTATTAAATACATAGAGAAATTTAATTTACATAACTTCACCCTAGAACTGAATCATTTGACCCTGGAAAAAATATTTGAGATTAGTATATAAATCATACAGTAAGTTCATAGTAAATACTTGATGTTATATATTTACCTTCCTCTTTTTGTCACCACCTAATTCAAAATGCTTACATCTTTTAAGAGGAATCTGTTTTCTGTACTTGCATTCTGTACATTCCATTCTTAAGACAATTTTCTTTGTAGTTTTCGCCTATTTTAAGAATATAATGATAATATTATCAATGCCATAATTTACACTTTATAATAGTTAATTAATACTTCGACGAATTTACCTTTTTTCTGAAGATAGGTTTGGTTTGACCACCAAAACCTTGTTGTTTACGATCGTAACGTCTTCTACCTTGTGATGCATGACGTTCTTTGCTTTTCTTGTACTGTGTTACTTTATGAGGCTTGTGTACTTTGCATTTTTTGCAAAAAGTGCGCCTTTGTTTTGGCACGTTAACCTGAAATCGTAAAAATATTACAAAATACAAAACATCGTGCATATTATTTCATCATAATTATCTAATGAAACTTATATCTTTTTAAATTGACAATTTCAATTATATCCAATTCTAAACATTCTTTCCTACTTTGTTCAATGCAATAGTCTTTCTATTTCACTTTAAACGATGAAACTTGTATTAATATTACAGATTGTCACTTATAGAGGTTATGTTGTCACTAATACGACACATCTCATGTTTTATAAAAGTACAAAATATTGATTTTATTGAGTTATAAATGACTATTCACTGATAAAATGAAGCTTTAGAACTGATACTATTTAAAGATTACGACCTTAGTTATGGATATATAATATACATTCTCACTTAAAACTTTACCTACCATCTTGGACGATTAGAAAAGAAAGGAAGCGTACTCTAACCGGAAATTGAAATGTACACGCTTTTGCGCATGCGCCTGTGTCAATGCTATATAAAAATCATAAATTGAATGTTGTTTTTTATCTAAAAATATAAACATTGGTTCAGTGTTTAATATAATACTGTTGTGCAAAATTCATTTTGTATAAAATCATGATAAAAATAGATGAGATTGTTTTTAATACATTTGAACGCAAAATTTCGACTTTATATACGCCATTAACAGCCAGGATCAAAATTGGTTTAATATATGACATCAAATCAATAATATCAATTATATCATGTAATTTATTACTATTTTATGCTTACATTTTACAAATTATCACTTACTTAAATAGCTTAAAGCATATCTAGAAATTTTTAATTATATTAAAATCGAAACAACCGTACACAAACTTGCAAAAGAATTAATAAACAATAATCGAGCAAAACTTTTTTCCCTTCGTCATTTATTGTTCGCTTCCGAAACTACGCAGCAATTGTTGCATATTTTGTTAAGCTTTAAGCTTCTTACCAAAAAATACTGATACATATTTTGCAATGTCCAGCTTACATTGATTTCAGAATTTAGAAAGTAGCATATTCAGCATTAAATTTTGGATGACAGGTGTGCGTCTGCGTCATTCAAAAAGTTATTCTTTCACTTATAGGGTAATTCCCGCCACGATGTACATAGTATGCCACGTTAAGCAAAAGTTTATCATTTCGAACACGTATAAAAATAATTAAATTATTTTACATGAAATTATTGTTTTACAAGACATGTTCATTGATTTGTTAGTAAAAAAAACATTGAAAATGATCCAAATGTATCATAGCGTCACAGTTTATTCGAATCGAGCGTCATAGCCTCGAACCAGACGGCAAACTCAGGCCACGAACTCTCGAACCCCTCGTCCTCCGCAGGATTTAATTTTATTTATACGTCAGATGGATGGATTACGCAGAAATCTTTGACAAGAAATAACAGAAGATTATTTAGCGTTCTAACGTTTCCATTTAGGTGCAGTAGTAGATCGAAAATAAATATTATGGTTTCAACCAATCAGGCATTTATCGAGTTTCAAACCCGCGCCATCTTCATTTTTGAACAAAGCCAGGTTGGACGTGCTAGGAGTGAGCCGAGACCGGGTAGTAGTCCGCTTTGCGCTATTCGCGCTACAGTCGTCAGTACTCGGCACTCTCCGCTCCTGACTAGTTCGACTCGGTCTCACCCTCCTTCCCCCTCTCTCTCTCTCTCTCTTTTCCCCCTCTGCCCCTTGGGTTTTCGCCTGACGACGCTGCTCTCTCGGGCATTTCGCCGGAAACCGACGCCGCGCGAGGACAGAGTTTCGTTACGCGTAATACGTTGCTCTATCTTTTCCTAACGTTTGTAAGAAGACCACGCAGGCATCTTGCTCAACGCATCTATTCATCATGAGCAGCAAAGAAAACAACGAGGTCGCCGTTGAGAAGGTGACCGAGAACGACAAGGCTTCCGGAGACGCGAAGTGCGAGATCAAAGGAATGAAGAGGCCGGCCGAGGTGAGTCGTTCATACCTTTTTTTCTTACCTAATTTTTCGTCGCGCAATATTCTTGACCTTTTTTTCACGGATTCGACGTAAGCATACGCGTACACACAAACCCCACGTACATGCCGGCTTGCACCATGCTTCCGCGCCACGCTGCTTCGGTCACGGCATCGTCTACGATTTCGCAGTCGTATTTATGTAAGCGACTTTGAAATTTTATGATCGTGAATTTTTTTACAATTGATTTTCTCGATTTATCGGACGTATTCCAAGATTCGCATTTTTAACTTTTTAGTAAAATCAGTTTCTGAATCGTATGTACGCGGTATCGTTGTAAATCTCTTGAACAATTTGGTGGGCGGGCAGTCGAGTGGCCGTTTCAACCGACTGATGGCATAGAAGAAAAAAAGGATGCCGGCCGGCATTTTCATTAAGCTTTATATGTTCAAAACACCGAGAAACATGATCGTATCTATTTATTTTCCTATTGCCCGTACGAAAATATACACGATCATAATGTTTTCCCGATCGAGCGCCAAGGGACGCCATCATATTTCGCGTGGCTCCCACGAGCCACGATGGTTCGG